TTTCATCCTCGAAGATATTGCTTGAAATATCTTCACTCTATCTGTGATACTACTCTACACTAAAATTGCATTCAGTGATACATACTGTATCTTGGATTAATGTTTCGCGTCGTTCACTGAGCACTACGAAAACATAGCCGCCAACTACTACGTGACAACAACGCCCGTAAACGATGATTTACGAGCATAGTTCTAATTCAGTGATGATGAAATAACTGCGTTTTGGTGCATGATTCCATTAGAACTGATTCAAGAAAAAAAGTGTTGCGATTGGAAGGAATTAATCAATCAGTTAATCAGTCCAATTAATCAATTCAATTTTCTTCCGTTTATATGGCGCACTTTCGATCATTTTGACTGATTTCGAATAGAAAACAGCAAAAGCGATCTTATATATTCGAGTTGAAACGCAAGCACATGATGCTGGAAAACGTAATTGGAAGAATGTCTCTTAGAAACCTTTAAAAATTTTAATAATTCCTTAGTTAACATAATAAATGAGCTTTGAATTGATGGTTGGAAGAAATGCAAAAAGTATTGAATAAACGAACAATTTCAACTATGTTATCTATCAAATTTTTATTCGGGTTTCCAAAAAAGTGTTATGTTTGGAGTAGAAACTTTTTGTGTTTGACTGATTTCAGTCATTTTGCTTTATGAAGAGGCAAAAACACGATGAAAAATGGTGATAATTTACATGAATGATGGTGAAATATTTCTCGTTCATTCGTTCATTTTTGTGATCGGATGACAAGAACTCGAGATTTGCAGTGATCAATAGGCAACTTGAGCACATTTTTAGGTCTCACAAGTCCATTGGCTAGTCTATCGGTAATAAATGCGATTGTTTTTGGTGTATACGGTAATACGGTAAGACTATTCGAGGATAAAAATAGTGTTTTAACGCATTTTATCGCTGGCTCTGCGTCTGGTCTCGCGCAGACGTTGATCGCAACCCCGACTGAAATGCTCAAATTGCGTATGCAAATTCAGGTTGCTTCTTTTCACTCATCCGCCTTCAAATTCATTTGTTTGTGAGTAGTTTACTGTGAATAATGTCAATGACAACTATCAGTGATTTGAAAACTTTTCGGCATTATATCCAAATCAACATTATTGAGACTGCTTCAAACGATTACACATCTTTGCAGTACTGATTAAGTTGTTTTATTGTTTCACCGTGTGTGTTTTCAGAGCGATACTTCCACAAAACTTTATCGATCTCCTTACGACTGTTTTCGGAAACTGTTGAAGCAAAAAGGAATCAGATATTTGTTCAGGTTTGATGTTGCTTTCATAGTTTACAGATGATTGTTGAGATGTTTTTCACATCGAAAAAAAAGTTTTGAAAAGAAATGTGAATAGCAAGTTTAAAAAGAGTAAATGAAATGGTCCGGATATGGTAAGTGCAGAAATTCCGTGTGTAAAAAATGTGTTAAAGAAATTTTTTCGGAAATGAAAGAAAATTTTCGGAAAAGATTTTCAAATTCCCTCAATTTGACCAGGGGAATTGGTTCGATTATGAGATTCGGGAATGCTTGTAGCTAAGTAAAACAGACTAAATGTGATAAAATGTTCATATCGACTGGAATTCTGATGAATATTCGACGAGAAATATTCATAAGAAATAGATGTTCAGGGGTTCAATAGCGACACAATTACGTGATGCACCTGCATTTGGTATTTATTTCGCATCATACGAATGGTTGACAAGGCGTTTCAGCAGAGATGGCAATCAACAGAATATTTCCAATATTAATTTACTTATCGCTGGAGGTTTGTTGCAATTTCATCATGAAACATTGCAGACGGAGTC